AAAGTCTTACAACAAAGTTGTCGTCACATAAGCCGCCAACTGGCCGCGAAGTGCCGCAGAAACATCATGGTGAATCGCATGCGTCTCCAAACTTGGTTTGTGCATGTAAATATGGGTTTCATCTATACACCCGCTACGCACATATTGATCGTTGAATTCGCACATTGTTGTTGTTGGTGTCTCACGCATCTCATCTTCATACTACAACATCTCTTGCCAATGTATGAAACGAGATGATTTCGCCAGATATTACCGATTGAGAGCAGGGGGGTGCGTAGTACACCCACGCAAGCGGATACGTGTCAATAATGCCTCATTAAGAAGAATGATTGCTATCTCAGGTTGAGATGCCCATGTGTTATATATAACCACCGGCATATTATGTTTACCATTGAAATTCAATTGTTGAAGTGCGATGATGGCACGTTGTCTTTTTCATGGTCCCTTGATCTCTTCACCTCACATGCAGGCTTTCCTTGATTACCCGGGCGTTAACATCAATAATGCATTCGAACGACCACTCCCACGGCTTTCACGTCTGTGGACTGTTTATGCAAGAGATATGCGCATTACATATTAAAAACGGCTGCAGCCTCGTGTATGGTGTATGTATTTGTTAAGAAGGTAGGGACTAGGAACTTAGAGAGCTAGGAACTTAGGGTTTGGATGGAGAGAAGTTTGGCCAAAGGAAGGGGTTGGACTAGTGAGAGAGATACATGATATAGGGTTAGGGAAGGTGGTCAGGAGGGGTATACCACCAACAAGAGAATACATACTACACTAGCTATACTAATATGCAGTTATATAAAGAAATACAATTTCTAACAGTATTGCACTCCACTGGCCACATTTATAGAGCATGACAAACTCCATCAGCATACCGGTATCATGCAATCAATGGGAGACACGATCTTTGTACCCTGGCTATGCTGCACCTGCCACGTCCGCGTGCAACAATGTTGAACCCATCAACATGTTCGTGTGAAATTTTATCTTTCGTACCCATGCAAGAGCCACGTGCATGTCTGCCACAAGTTGAAACCGCATGCACGACTGCTCTGTACCTATGACGACTGCTCTGCAGACTCCTTGAAGAGTCTTGTCTTACCGTCATACCCCGGATATACCCCCATGGGGGGCACTAATAAAACGTGTTTTTTTTAGGGGGTGGGCTTATAATATAGTAAATTTATAAGCGCCGGCGTTTATGTTATGACAAAAATGAAATTTGTTTTTAAATATACCAAATCGAAGCATTCACAAAGGCGAATTCACCTGAGTCGAGAACGTTCGGAACTGTGCATGCTATGCGCGTGAAACGGCCAACAAGGCGTGGCAACACGCCTTCCACGCCTTGTTGGCCAGGCCAGGTTCATCGAACGTGAACCTAGCGCATGCCTGCGCACACGTACCTCGCATCACAGCGGCCCAATCAGGGTTGCATGCGATCGTGGGCACGTCGTGGTTCAGCCACGGCGTGCCCATCAACAGCAAGATACCCTGCCACCGAGGCAAAGAGCTGCCCAGCTCAGCTCCTCTGCGGGGAATCTTGGCTGTGGCCACACTTTCCCCGCAGAGGAAGCCGGGCCGCGAAACTGAAGGGGTCTCGGGCGAGGGCTTCATACGGCCCTCATTGTCAACGTTTGGTTCAGTTTCTTTCGTTCGTTTGGCCTGCCTTGGCCATGGCGGGCCTTTCAGGCACGCATTTCTTGTTCCGCCGCCAGCCTGCTGCTAGAGAAAGAACCCGCCAAGACACCAGTGACTGGTCTCAATGGCAGAGGCGCCCTGCGCCCGTCCCTCAGTCACAACCAGTAGCGCCTCCCATTCCTCCAACACCTCCTACGCCTCCTACCCCTCCCGCTCCCCCGGCGCCTCCGATTCCTCCCGTTCCTCCGTCCCCTCCTGACCCGCCTGCTGTTGGTGTTCCGCGACAGGGGGTTCTGCAGCTTCTCCTCCTCCCTGGCTACTCGGCGTTCGACGCCTTCCTGTCCGAGCCTGACCGCAGCGGCGGCGAAGGATCTTCCTCCGCACCGGAGCCACGGTGGGGAGCCCCGGCTGATTGCCCGTTGGACGAATCCGCTACCGGTGCCGACGACGACGTGGAGTTCTGGGCTGCTGACGGTCTCCCCGAGCACCTTCCAATTCCCTCTTTTCCTCCTCCGAATAAGAAAAGGCCTCACCCATCTCGCGATAATCGTGATGCCCGTCCTCCCTCCCCCAGGCACAAGCCGTCAACTCACAAGCGCAACAAATACACGTCGCAGGAGAAGCTGCAATGGATTCTGAAGCTCGAAGCCGGCGACATGAGTGTGCGGCGCATGTCTCGCGTATCCGGCATCTCCCGAAGGTGCCTCACGGAGTGGAAGAACCGCAAGGCTGAGCTTGAGGGCGCGCACGGTGCACGATGTCGCCTGCACGGCCGCGGAAGGAGCTCGTGGTATCGCGACATGGAAGCGGAGGTGTACCGTCGGTTTCTCGCCCACCGCAAAAAGTGCCTCGCCGTCTCCATCGCACGACTTCAAAAGTGGTCGCACGAGGTGATGAAGGAGCTACACCCAGGTGAAAAGTGGGCCGGCTCTCAGCGGTGGACTCAGCGATTTCGCCGCCGCTGGAACCTGACGACCAGAGCGAAGACCCGGGTCGGCCAGAAGCTCTCGGCACGTGAGTTTCATGGCCGTGTTCATGTGTCAATGTGCTCTCGATACACGATTCTTACTCTGTGTTTGTGCTTTCTGTTCCTCCCATCCCGTGTCCCAGACTGCGAGGATGAAGTGAGGAACTTCTGGGCGTTCGTGCGTCACTCCCGCCGCCAGTACCGAATCGAGCTGCCGTGGATTCTAAACGCGGAACAAACGCCACTCTGGCTCGAGATGCCATCCGAACGCACCGTTGAAGAGGTTGGCGCGCGCTCCATCCCCGTCCGCAGCGGCGGCTACCAGAAGGAGCGGGTCACAGTCATGCTCGCCTGCACCGCCAGCGGGGAAAAACTGAAGCCGTGGGTCTTCTTCAAAAGGAAGACCGTCCCGAAAGGAGACTTCCCTTCAGGTATGCACCACACGTCGATTGCGCCGTGGCATGTGTGTTTATAAATTTTCTCTAACATGGTGGTTTTGGTGTGCAGATATCCACGTGGGGGTCCATCCCAACGGGTGGATGGACGCGGACGGGGTCATCGAGTGGCTTGACGGGGCGGTGAAGCCGTACATCAACCCCAAGTTCGGAGTCCGCCCCAAGAAGGTTCTGCTCGTCCTCGATTCGTACCGCGGGCACCTAACCCCGGAGGTGAAGAAAAAGTTTGGCGAGCTCAACGTGGTCCCTGCGGTCATCCCTGCTGGCTGCACCTCGGAGGTTCAACCCCTCGACGTCGCGGTTAACCGCTCCTTCAAGGCCGCCGTCCGCCAGCTCTACCAGGAGTGGTTTGAGCGTGAGGGGGTCGACAGCCTGACGAAGAAAGGTGAGATGTGCAGCCTGTAAGTTTGTGTTTCCTTTATTTAACTCCCTCTAACTTTGTTTCTGGATTTGCGTGGCAGGCAACATCAAGAAGCCTCCTGTCGAGCTGACGCTCAAGTGGATCTCGGCGGCCTGGAAGTCCGTGCCCAAGGAGCTCATCCAACGGGCGTTCCTCACCTGCGGCATCAGCAACGCCCTGGATGGGTCCCAGGACAAGCTCTGCCTGCAACACAGGCGAGATGAGCTCGAGGGCGAGGAGGTCGACATGGATGATGAAATTGCAGCAGACGGCTTCTTCTGCAACAACGTGGAAGAGCCTGAGTCGGACTCTGACGCCGACCCAGATGACCCCACTACGGCAGATGATCTGCGAGGGTAGATAGAAAATGGTCAAGCCTATGTGAGGCTTGTAGGTAGAAGTACATGAGATGTAAATTGACTATTAGATGTTAAAATAGTGAAAAAAAATGTTTAGATGTAGGTAGATTTGTTTAAATAGTGTTAAAAAGATGTTTAGATGTAGATTTAATATTGTTAGATATCTTCAAAATATAAAAACACTAAAAACAAAGGGGGGCGGTTATAATGTGTACAGCACAGGTATGCGGTTATAATCTGTAAGCCTTTTAGGTATGCGCTTATAATCGAGCACCGGATATAAGCGCCGGGCGCCGATTAAAAGCGCCAGGCGCTTATCCGCGGGTGGCGCTTATATCCGGGGTATGACGGTAATTGACATAAACACAAGCACACACACCCATGCACAAACAATGCACACACGCACTAACAAACACATGCACAGACACACATATATATACACACGCATATATACAATGAGGAGAGAGATCAAAGAAGCATAACAAAGAGTTGCAAAAATGCCGAATATGTAACAATCACTGCTAGCCTGCTCCGCCTTCCTATCCCTTTCTCCCTTCCCTCATTATCCCCGCGCATTTCGGCATCTTTTCCTCCTTGTCTTCTTCTGCTTCCCACAATGCGGCTAGCACATCCTGCAAAACACACAGGTCACGCAAAAAAAATATTGTTGTGAGTGAATCCAGTGAATAATGTAAGGCGCCAACGCGCTGCAGCAAGGCGCCAGCGCGCTGCAGCAAGACGGAACGCATGACGGAACGAGTTCAAAATGATGCAATAGATTGATAAAAGATGAATACTAGGCATATCCAATTGGACGACTCACACACGTGGTTTGAAGGCATCATCACACCACCTCAGCCTGCACAAAATGCATCACCTAAAAGAAATATAGAAGAAATGATAATTGCACCAAAAACACATCCAACGTTCTAGGCGAAAATGCGCCAGCTCAAAAAGCATGACCCAATCGCCCAAGGCATCAACGCCCATGGCGCTACTAACACCAGCGCCCTAGGTGCATACGTCGCAGGGTCAATGGCCATAAGCACCAATGCGCCCAAGACACCAGCACCTAAGGCGTGAGCGATCTCCGGTTAACGCACTTAGCAACAATGACTAAGGAGTGCCCAAGAGGACTAAGGAGAACTCGCCAATGCCTAAGGTGCGGGCGCTTAAGGCGCTAGCGCGCAAGGCGCCAGCGCGATAGGCGCCAGCGCAGCAAGCGCCAGCGCGATAGGCGTCAGCGCCTTAGGCGCCAGAGCGCTTGGCGGCGCCAGCACGTTAGGCGCCAGCGCGCTAGGCACCAGCGCAGCAAGCGCCAACGCCTTTGGCGCCAGCGCACTTGGCGTCAGCGCACAAGGCGCCAGCGCATATTGCGCCAGCGCGATAGGCGCCAACGCGTTAGGCGCCAGGACGTTAGGCGTCAGCGCGCTAGACGCCAGCGCACATGGCGCCAGCGCAGCAAGCGCCAGCGCCTTAGGCGCCAGCGCTCTAGGCGCCAGCGCGTTAGGCGCCAGCGTGTTAGGCGCCAGCGCAGCAAGCACCAGCGCAGCAAGCGCCAGCGCCTTAGGTGCCAGCGCGCTTGGCGCCAGCGCACAAGGCGCCAGCGCGACAGGCGCCAGCGCGGTAGGCACCAGCGCGATAGGCGCCAGCCAGCGGGATAGGTGCCAGCGCCATAGGCGCTAGCGCGATAGGCGCCAGCGCGATAGGCGCCAGCCAGCGGGATAGGTGCCAGCGCCATAGGCGCTAGCGCGATAGGCGCCAGCGCGATAGGCGCCTGCGGGATAGGCGCCAGCCAGCGGGAAAGGCGCTAGCGCGATAGGCGCCAGCCAGCGCGCTAGGCGCCAGCGCCATAGGTGCCAGCGCGATAGGCGCCAGCCAGCGGGATAGGCGCCAGCGCGATAGGCGCCAGCACGTTACGTGCCAGCGCTCTAGGCGCCTGTGGGTTAGGCGAATGCGCGATAGGCGCCTGCGTGTTAGGCGCCAGCGCGTTAGGCGCCAGCGCGATAGGCGCCAGCGCGATAGGCGCCAACGCGTTAGGCGCGGCGCCTGCACGATAGGCGCCAGCCAGAGCGATAGGCGCCAGCCAGCGCGATAGGCGCCAGCGCGTTATACGCCAGCGCGTTAAGTGCCAACGCCATAGGCGCCAGCCAGCGCGATAGGCGCCAGCCAGCGGGATTGGCGCCAGCGCTCTAAGCGCCTGCGGGTTAGGCGCCTGCGCGTTTGGCGCCAGCGCGCTAGGCGCCAGCGCGCTAGGCGCCAGCGCGCTAGGCGCCAGCGCGCTAGGCGCCAGCGCGCTAGGCGCCAGCGCGCTAGGCGCCAGCGCGCTAGGCGCCAGCGCGCTAGGCGCCAGCGCTCTAAGCGCCAGCGCGTTAGGCGCCAGCGCGCTAGGCGTCAGCGCGCTAGGCGCGAGTGCGCTAGGCGCCAGCGCGCTAAGCGCCAGCGCGTAAGGCGCCAGCGCGCTAAGCGCCAGCGCGCTAGGTGCCAGCGCGCTAGGAGCCAACGCGCTAGGCGCCAGTGCGCTAGGCGCCAGCGCGCTAAGCGCCAGCGCGCTTGGCGCCCGCGCGTTTGGCGCCAGCGCGCTAGGCGCCAGCACGCTAAGCGCCAGCGCGTAGGTGCCAGCGCGCTAGGCGCCAGCGCGCTAGGCGCCTGTGCGCTAGGCGCCAGCGCGATAGGCGCCAGCGCACCTGCGTGCTCACTCCCGTGCACACACACTCCCTCACACTCCCTCTCTCCCCTTCTTAAAATGGAGGCACAATGCTAAGAGGAGACTAATTGGCACAGAGAAGTTACAAGGAAAATTGAAAGTATAGGACATTTCGGAGTGAGAAGGAAACACACCTGAGACAACCGTGCCTACGAAAGCAACGCGCGGTCGTGCAGCAAACCGCGCTCGTGCTCGTGCACCCACCAAAGGCGACGGCGGGAAGGGAGAAGGAGGCGACGACGAGGAAGGGAGAGTGACGGCGGGGAGGGAGGGAGAGGCGACGGCCGGGAGTGAGGGGGTTGAGTTCTTGAATTCAAGAAACGGAGGGGAGAATTGCGTTTGGGTAGCTCTGGCAAGAAAATATTCCTGCCAACCAGGCACGAACCAGTTTTTACGATCAAAATACATTAGATTTCGGTTATACTCACCAAAATCAAGAAAGTCGGACATGACAAATGCGTGGTGTGAAAAAAAAACAGTGGGGCAAATTGCTAGCTAGTTGGGCATATGATATATATTTATACATAGAAAAAATACGAAGATACAATATTTGGGACCTAGTTTCAAATGACACCAAGAGCATAAAGTTGCTACCCAAAAAGCTGACATATAAAGAACAATATTGCTTATGATTTTTTTAATTTCAAAATTTGCCCATGAACAGCCATCAATAATAAGAACATCGAACCTTAAGCAATAACAAAATAAGGAACTAACAAGTCTGTTATGAAGAGGGATAACATAGTCGCTTTCTCTAAATACCATAAATATAATATATACAATTTTTATAAGTGCTACGCAACCTGTAAGGAATTTTCTGGATTCCTTACTGGGTCACATCGTACGCGTACAACCCCGACTTTCGGAAAACCAGGCTCGGTCCGCCGACCTCGCCTTCCGAACCAGTACCGCGTCGCCTTCGGGTTTTCCAACCCCGAACCTGCACCCAACCATCTCGCGACTCCGCAACCTCGTTTCAGATAGCGCTCCTATATTAGTTATAGGCCTCGTTGTGTTCTCAGATGTTGTAATCACTTCCGCCTTATTGAGTTCTGCGCACTCTTTCATTCACAACTCATAACACTTGGTATCAGAGCCTAATTTCCTAGGTTACCCTCGCGTTTCCGGGGTAGTTTGTAGAAGGGGAGCGATAGACTTGGTGGGCTGTTAAGCGGTCGGCCCGTGGAATAGATCCGATTATTCCACTCCGACTACGATAGCATTAACGCCTTCACCGAAGTCAGAAAAATCGCGAGCCACCCCCTGCCCGTTAGACGAAGCCTGCGACACATGGAACAGGCGGAGTTCAACGAGTTCATGCAACAGTTCCGGACGATGCAGGCCACCATGCAGACGATGTCTGCAGAAATGGAGCGTCTCCAGAAGGAAAACGCCGAACTACACCAGGCGCGTGGTGAAGCGCGCCAGGAGTCGCCTGTCGTGGACGACGCAAGTAGCAGCACTGCACCAGATGAGCGGGTCTGGGACGAGCTGGAAGGCGAGATAGAAGCGGACGAGGCGAGGCAGGCGCAGCAGCAACAGTCACCGCAACAGTCGCGTGCAGCACCGACACGTGCAGCAGCGACGACGACGGCGACGCCAGCAGCGACGCCAACGGCCCCGATGGCAGCAACGGCTTTCGTTAAAATCAAGCCGACAAACCCGCCCCCGTTTAACCCAAGTGACAAGTTCGTCACTGTTTCTGCATGGTTGTTCGGCGTGGAGGTGTTTTTCAATGCTGCCATGATTTATGACGATGCCACCCGCATTAATTTCGCAGTTTCACTGTTGCGAGGACCTGCGCTGGAGTGGTGGAGGCGAACGCTGCAGGACGAAGGGACTTCGGCAGGAATAGCACGTGCGAACGACGGGACTTCAACACCTGTCACGCATCGAGCAGCATCAATTTTCGGGACGGCTACGATACGCACATGGAGGGAGTGGGGCGCCGCCTTGCGAATTAGGTTCGAGCACATACCCGCCTCGAACTCTACTCGCATGAAGCTGCGTGCCTGGAAGCAGCTGACTTCAGTCCAAGACTACACCAGCACATTCTGCAACTTGGCGGACCAAGTGGACGACATGAGCGATGCGGAGCGGTTGGATCGCTACGTGGCGGGCCTGAAATACGAGATACAGTACGAGGTCCGACGAACCCGGCCACGCAGCTTCAACGACGCCGTCCGGGAAGCCGAGTCAACGGATGTGCTGATACAGTGGGCGAGATCGAGCTCCCGGGAGGGCCCTCGATTTCGTGGATCGACTCAGCAGCCCACGATCAACGGCGTGGATGCACCAAGCCGAGCCCTTGGGCCGTGCTTTTTATGCAACCAGCTGGGCCACCTGAAAAAAGACTGCCCGAGGCTTAAGCAGGGGAAGAAGAACGACGGAGAAGGGTCGGGAAAAGATACGAGTCAGTAGCAGAAGGGCCACCTACTGACGAGACCCTGTCGCCCGACAATCACCATCCACACCGGGTCGTGGTACCGATCAGAGCTATCGACCAGAACCGGACGAATAACGTGGGTGAACACGTGGACTACCCTGTGCTGGTGGTGGGGAGGGTTAACGGTTATAAAATAAAAATATTCGTTGACGGTGGGGCGAGCCACAGTCTCGTCAACCTGGCAACGGCCAAAAAAATTGGGGTAAAGCTGACCAGGTGCCTGCCGGAGATCGATGCAAGGTTGGTGGACGGGACACCACTAGCCATCCGAAATGAGGCGCGAAAAAATCGGATACGGTGTGGCGACAAATTCGGGTTTGGCATGAAAATGTTGGCGACGACGCTGGACGGCTGCGATGTGCTGCTGGGGAGAGATTGGCTGCAGCGCTTCAATCCGACGATCGACTGGACGACTGGGGCGTGCGTCGTGCGAGGATACGGAGGGAAGACGACGTTTCTAAGATGGACGGAGCCGGAGCCGGTGACGACACGTGTCAACGCGGTCAACATGGCGCGCGCGATGAACAGCGGAGCGCAGGCCTTCTTGGTGAATCTGTACGAGGTGACAGTTTCCGAGAAAATCGCGGACATCGACACCCTCTGCGCAGCAGTCCCCGAGGAATTGGCGAGCATCATTCGGAAGTATCCCGAAATTTTCGCGGATGACCTCCCGGATGGCTTGCCCCCCCAACGACCTGAGGATCATCGGATCCAGCTGGAGCCCGGCGCGCAACCTACTGTTCGGACACAGTGGCGGCTCAGCCAACCAGAGCTCGCCGAGTTGCGGGCCCAGCTGGATTACCTGCTCGCCAAAGGGTTCATCTGGCCAAGCACGTCGCCGTATGCAGCGCCGATACTGTTCACGCCGAAGAAGGATGGGGGCCTACGCATGTGTATTGATTATCGGGCGCTGAATCGGGTCACGATAAAGTCGCGTTACCCGATCCCGCGAACCGACGATCTGCTGGATCAACTTCGCGGAGCTCGGTATTTTTCCAAAATCGACTTGCGAGGGGGCTACCACCAAATTCGCGTGTTCGCCGACGACTGCCCGAAGACGGCCTTTCGCACACGTTACGGCAGTTACGAATTTACGGTGATGCCGTTCGGACTGACTAACGCGCCCTCAACATTCCAGCTCACAATGAACGGAATTTTCCGGGACATGCTGGACAAGAAAGTCATCGTGTATCTGGACGACATCCTGGTGTACAGCGTAACAAAAGAGGACCATCTGCGGGATTTAGAGGAGGTGTTCCGGCGTTTACAGGGGCATCGGCTGATTACGAAGGGGTCTAAGTGCGAGTTTCTGAAGCCGGAACTGGAGTTTTTGGGGCATGTGGTTTCTGGCGAGGGCATCAAAATTGACCCGCGTAAAATGGACGCCATCGTTAAGTGGAAGCCGCCTTCGACGCCCTCAAAAACATTTTGGGCTCGGCCCCGGTACTCCGCCTCGCCGACCCATCTCGACCGTTCGAAGTCGTCACGGACGCCAGCGATTTCGCCGTCGGCGCCGTCCTGCTACAGGATTTCGGCCAAGGGCTGCAACCCATCGCCTACGAGTCACGCAAGATGCAGCCACCCGAGCGCAACTATCCAGTCCACGACAAAGAGATGCTGGCCATCGTCCACGCATTTCGTACCTGGCGCTGCTACCTCACGGGAGCCGACGTGACAATTCGGACCGACCACAAATCGCTACAGTACATGCGCACGCAACCAACACTCAACCCGCGACAAATCCGGTGGTTGGACTTCCTCGAGTCCAATTTTCGGTACACCATCACGTACAAGAAGGGCGCCAACAACATCGCCGACGCCCTCACCCGACCATCCATGCAAAATGCGGCGGTACTAATCGTGTTAAATTGTAATGTGTTATATGTTGGTAGGCTGTAGTGGGGTAGCCAATATGGGGTACAACCCCAACTAGGGTTTCATATTTGTACCCAAACTTCTGCTAGTTCATTCATTCTTGCCTAGTTATTCTGAGATGGTATTCAGAGCAGGAGGTCCCTAGGACCTACCGACCGTTTTTTTTTAAGGGCCCACCACCGCTCGCATGCGGTTACCACGCTACCCCGTGCCCTAGCCTCGTAGCGCCCTCGTGCGCCCTCGTTAGCGCCCTCGCGCGCCCCTCGTTAGCGCCCTCGCGCGCCCCTCGTTAGCGCCCTCGCGCACCCTCGTTAGCGCCCTCGCGCGCCCCTCGTTAGCGCCCTCGCGCGCCCCTTGCTAGCGCCCTCGCGCGCCCCTCGCTAGCGCCCTCGCGCGCCCCTCGCAGCGTCGCCCGCCCACCGAGCTGCCTGCTCGCAGCGTCGCCCGCCCGCTTCGCAGCCCGCTCGCCCCGCTGCCCGCTTCGCAGCCCGCCCGCCCGCTCGCTGCCCTCTTCGCGGCCCGCCCGCTCGCTCGCTGCCCGCTCGCAGCGTCGCCCGCCCGCCCGCTGCCCGCTTCGCAGCGTCGCCCGCCCGCTTGCTGCCCGCTCGCAGCGTCGCCCGCCCGCCCGCTGCCCGCTTCGCAGCGTCGCCCGCTCGCTCGCTGCCCGCTCGCAGCGTCGCCCGCCCGCCCGCTGCCCGCTCGCAGCGTCGCCCTCCCGCCTCGCTGCCCGCTTGCAGCGTCGCCCGCCCGCCCGCTGCCCGCTTCGCAGCCGCCCGCCGCGCTGCCCGCT